TTTTTTTTTTTTTTTTTTTTTTTTTTTTTTTTTTTTTTTTATTAGCTCCCAGCAAGCAGGGGCAAGGTGGGGGAAGAGAATCAGGGGTGCACAAGAGGCCCATCATGGTCCCCGACTGCACACTGGGAGGATCTAGTCACAGAGTATTGGGGTTCTTAGGGATTGGCTTGTTTTGAAATGGGATTAGCTTGATTTTTGGCTTATTGTGCAATTCGGGGTGCTTATTTACCATGTGAAAGTTGGCAACTGTGCCCACCGGTGCCCATTTGGTGCTGCAGGCAGAGGAAACTCTCTGGTGTCCTCTGCTGCTACCTACACATATCACAGGTGCCAACATCCCCTCTGCCCAGTGGATGCTCCACCCCCCCCACCTGTACACCACCCTTGCCCCACCCCGCTTCCACCCCTTCCCCAAAGTCCGCACCCACCCTGCTTTTTCCCACCCCAGCCCTGCCCCACCCCCCCACCCCCATTCCACTCCCTTCCCCCAAGTCCCTGTCCCTGCCCTGCCTCTTCGCCTCCTCTCCTGAGCATACCATGTCCCCGCTCCTCCCCCTCCCTCCCAGAAAGTCCTAAGCACTGCCAAACAGCTGTTAGGCGGCAGGAGGGGGGGGAGAGGAAAGCAGGGATTCCACATGGGGGGGAGAGAAGGAGGCTAGGAGGGGGGAGCTTGGCTGCCAGTGGGTGCAGAGCACCCGCTAATATTTCCCCATGGGTGCTCCAGCCCCGGAGCACCCATGGAGTTGGCGCTTATGTCACAGGCTGTGGCATACTAGTGGGTCACACACTTCCTTGGTAATGTGGGCCAAGCTGAACACCCAGGTAGGCTCCTCTTGCCTCCCCCCATCACACACTCTTGCCCCCCTTCTTTATTATTACCCTTCCTGCTTTAAAGCTACTTGGGCCACTGAGGGTGACATCTGTACATATTATCTGCCTTCCTCTTTCTGTGAAGTCGCTCCAGGCCAAGCAGAGGGCCCTGTTGCAACAGCTGGACTGCCTGGATCAGGAGTGTGAGGAGCTGAGGGCCAGCCTAGGCGAAGCAGAGGACGACAAGGCTAAGCTGGAGCAACAGCTGAAGGAGACACAGGCTGAGAAGCGGCAGGTTCAAGGCCAGCTCGAAGCCCAGCAGGTCAGCGTTAATGTCCCCAGAGCAGCAAGGAGTTCCTTCAGCAGTAGGGGCTCCCCTGAGAGGCAGTGAAAGGGGAGCTAGAGCTGAACTGCTGAGCTCCAGTGGGGGAGGGGGCCATTAAGGGGTTCAGAATGAATGCCCCCCCCTTGGGTACACCATGGAGTGCCAGTGTGCTTGGGGGTGGGGTGAGGGTGAACAGGCTACACTGCACAATGATGGAGGGTTCAGAAAACAGTGAAGAGCATTGAGATGGCTTCCTCTTGCACTGGCTTCAGCCAGGCCGTCTGTCCATGGTTAGCATCGCTAGGCCACTCCTGAGAATGCTACTCCATTTTACTCAGTCCTTCTCCCTCTGACTGATGGGAATTTGTTCCAAGCAAGGAGCAGGGGCCTCAGGGACTGGCCCTCTCAGCAGAGCCCTGTTAGGCACTGAAGGTTGTGGGCATTCCAGGACAAGTGCCACATCTGTCTGGTGCTGGTGCTCCCACATCACACGGAGACCCAATGGTTCATCACATTGGTGTGCTGCTCACTGGACAAGGAGATCAGATTCAGCCCTGAAGGCAATGTTACAGCTGCATGATGAACTCTTCTCCTCTCCTAGCCACTTTGCAGCACCCCCCTCCCTCTCCCCTGGGCAGAATCACTCTGAGCTGGGACCACAGCAGGGAAGGAGCTTGATGAAACCTAGCCATACTCTTCCTGTCCAGTGCAGCAGCTAATGGAGAACCTGCAGCAGGAGAAGCTGAGCTTCGAGCAGTCCACATCCAAACTACTGAGGAACATCTCCGAGCTGGATGAGCTGCTCCAGGAGCTGAAGGAGAGGGAGAGGCTGCTGGTGTCCTTTCCAGACCTCCACATCCCTGCTGAGGCGCAGTTTGAGAGTAAGAGAGGGCATGGGGTGGGGCAGCAGACAGTAAGAGGGGGTAGCACACACCAGAATGGACAGCAACAGACTTCTACCCCCCCGCCCCCACCTCAATAGTGCTCATGCACTGAGTGCCCTAGAGGGCACATATCCCCCAGCTCATATACATGGGAGTGTGCGATTCCAGCAGCTGTTTCAGAATTACAAATATAAAAATCAGACTTTCAATTAAACATAGAAAACTATCCCACTGAAAAAAAAAATCAGAGTTGCAGTCCAGAGGGATCGCCCATGAGACAAGTGACTATGAGATGTGACCTATAACATAGCATAGAGTCATGGGGTCATCTTAACCCTTTACAGACTGCAGCTGTGTATTTGGGGGGGAGGGATAGCTCAGTGGTTTGAGCATTCGCCTGCTAAACCCAGGGTTGTGAGCTCAATCCTTGAGGGGGCCATTTAGCGATCGGGGCAAAAATCTGTCTGGGGATTGGTCCTGCTTTGAGCAGGGGGTTGGACTAAATGACCTCCTGAGGTCCCTTCCAACCCTGATGTTCTACGATTCTGTCTACATCCCCCTAAACCCACTTTTGGCTAACAGTCAGATACAGCTGATCTTGGCCATGTGTCCATAGGAGAGATGTCTGGTAGGATCTGGAATAGAGGTTCCTCTGGTCACACAACATCCCTGCAGATCAGGATGGCATGTTTTTAGTACAGCAGGACAAGATAATTCCACCTGGAAAGGTTCTGCTAGCAGCCTACCTACCCCAGTGTTCTGCAGTTGACGGGTTGCATGGTGCTTAGTGAAGTGTAACTGGGCACAGCCCTCCATAGTTCCTCTTGCTACCCCATGTCCTTTTATAACAAAGAGCTCAGTTCTCCGCTGTATCCAAGCTTGGTCTGGTGCAGGGAAGAAGGAGGGAGCATCCTCAGGAAGTGAGCATCAGCTCCACCATCCTGCAGGCCTAGTCCCAGTGTAAGGTAGAACTGCTGTGGAGTAAGGTAGTCAATGACTTTATGCCAATGGAGCGCCACTCTACCATGTCCCCTTCTTCCTCCCAGCCCACCTCCATCACCCAATAGGACCCATTGGCCTCACATGCCCCTAGTGCTGGAGGGTGGGCGTGGGATGCAGCTGGTGCAGGTACTAAATGGCCATATCAGCCAAAGAGTCTGTCCTAAAGCCTCCAGCTAAGGGAAGAGATTGGTCTGAAGACATGTGGAAGCTGCTTGAATGTAATGGGGTGGGGGAGGATGCATCTCGGTTCACTTGTTCAGCATGTTCCACTTTGTCGTGGGATGTCACGTCACTAAAAGGGGAAGCCAGCAGCATGCTTCCAGGGGAGACTTTTGCTGGGCACCCAGGTAAGATGGCTGGCCCTTTGGAGCTGAGACTGGTCTATGGTTCAAGAACACAGCCTGGTCTCCAGTGCTGACACTAATGCCCAGAAGGTGAGGTGAAGTGCAGAAGCCACTGACAGACAGTTGAATGAGTGTTGGGTATGGGTGAGGGCTGTGGGTTAGAGCAGTGGTTCTCAACCAGGGGTCCAGGGTCCCCTGGGGGGCCTCAAACAGGGTTTAGGGAGTCTGCCAAGCAGGGCCAATGTTAGATTCACTGGGGCCCAGGGCAGAAAGCTGAAGCCCCGCTGCATGGGGTTGAAGCCCAGGGTCCTGAGCTTCACCACTGGGGGCTGAAGCCAAAGCCTGAGCAACTTAGCTTCATGAGGACCCCAGGCAATTGCCCTGCTTGCTACCTCCTAACTGGTCCTGGCTTTTATAAGCAGAAAAGCTATTGTTGTGGCACAGGTGGGCCATGGAGTTTTTAATAGCATGTTTGGAGGGGGAGGGGGCTCAGAAAGAAAAAAGTTGAGAACCCTTGGGTTAGAGGGTGGCTGATGGGCACAATAGGAGATTAGTGAGGACAACACAATCCTAGCAAAGTGGCAGAGACAAACTTCAGCTAAGAATGAGTACCCTTGCAATTCTTGCTGTCCTTCAGAGTAGCATGGCAGGGTCAGAGGTGTAATGGGATGTGCTACTCACCGCTCAGCGGTGCCTCCTCCTGGTTCAGCTGGGGAATTAGCTCACCATAGTCTGTTCCATTGCCTCAGTCACTTGCTCTACAGCCTCTCTCACTCATCAGGAGCTGTAGCCTCTCTCTGGCCAAGTCACCATCATCCTCCCCTTTGGGGTCTCATCAGTCTCTTCCCACAAAGTCTCAGGCAGTCTCCATCTCCACTGCACCACTCCCACAGCAGCTGGTAGGGGAACCAGGCCTCTGCACCAGGTTCCAATCCAGGGACCCTCAAACCCACAGTCCAGGTCTGTGCTCTCTTGGACTTTACTGCTCCTTCCCTGGACAGCTTCCTGTGCTGCCTTTTCAGGCTCCTGCTCTCCCCCTTGTATCAGGGGTGCATCTGCAGGCTTATCTCCCTGCCACCTCTGCTAGCCTCAGCTCCTCAGTTTTGTAGATTCTCCCACCCGTTCCTGCCCAGGTGAACTTCATTCTCAATTAGAATCATTGTCAGTTAGCTCCCTCACAGGTGCAGCCTATGGCTAATTGGCCTTCCTTGCCACCTTAACCCCTTCAATGCCAGTGTGGGGTGAACACACCATCACAGGAGGGTTGTGTCACATGTGGCTTGCGACTAGCTGCCCCTGGGATACGATTTCTCTTCCTAGCTTTGTACCCATGGGAAAGTCACTGGTTGGAGGCTGGTCTCCCACTCCTCCTCCTCTATTTCCCCACTGCCTTACACACAGCACAGACCCTGCACTCGCAAGCGGTCACTTTAGTTACCAGAGGAATCACATGCTGGTTAACGAGAATACATTCGCTACCATTGCTGCATCCTTTCTGCTTTGGCCCTGCAATGTCTGTGGCATAATTATCGTCCCTAGACTACATGAGAGGACTGGACCAGCCAGTCTGCTTGTGCTTTACAGCAGGGGTTCTCAAACTGGGGGTTGGGACCCCTCAGGGGGTTGCAAGGTTATTACATGGGGGGTCACGAGCTGTCAGCCTCCACCCCAAACCCCGCTTTGCCTCCAGCATTTATAATGATGTTAAATATATAAAAAGTGTTTTTAATTTATTGGGGGGGGGGGTCGCACTCAGAGGCTTGCTGTGTGAAAGGGGTCACCAGTACAAAAGTTTGAGAACCACTGCTTTACAGCATTACTAGTGGTTACCTGCACATGCTCCAGGGCTGTCAGTGCCAGGAGGCAAAGGGGAATGTCCTTCTCAGGAGGAGTTAGGGACAGACATGCTCACATGCATGCACCAGCCCTGCTGTATCCAGAGGATTTGTGCACACCCACTCCCCTTGCCCCATTGTGCAGGGAAATCCTGTTTCATTGCAGGCACTGGGGACATCGCTGATGACATGGAAAAGCAGCTGCAGGCGAACAACATCCGCATCAGTGTCCTGGAGGAAGAGAACTCGCGGCTCAGGACCGCACTAGCCAAAATGAAAGAAGCGGCCCAGCAAGGAGTGTTAAGGGTGAGTCTGGCCACAGGTGGAGAGGGCACCTCTCAGTGCAAGGGGGGCAGCTGTTGAATATCAATAGGCAGTTGGTAGTGCAGGCAGAATCGGGGGTCAGTGCAACAGTGGGATCCCTACTGGACATGGAGGGTCCATGACCCATCCCATGGCCCCTGGGACTCTGGAGCAGAGGGGTTGGAGGCCAATCCCATGGTCTCTCTAGACTTTGGGGATGGGGGAATTGAGGCTTATCCTGTGCTCCCTTGAGACTGTACAACAGGGGGACTTAGGACACATCCCACTCTGAGTAGACTTTAGGGCTGGGGAATAGGAGACCTGTCCTGTGGCTCCTGGAGGTGGTGGGGCTGGGGAATAGTTGACCTATCCTGTTTGGGGCTGGGGAATAGATGTGTGTCCTGTGGCTCCTGAAAGCTGAGGAATAGGCGATCCGTCCCGTGATCCCTATGGGGGCTGAGGGACACACCCCCACTGTTCTTGGGGGCTAGAAGCACAGGACCATTTTCACACAGCCTGTGCTCCAGGACTAATCCCACTACCTCTGTTCTCTACAGCTGAAGGTTTGATTCTGCCTCCCTGTACTTCTCAGTGAGGCTTATATACCCCATTCCATTCCCCCTTGCGGCAATGCAGTCTAGTAACAAGAGCACAGTTGTAGGTCAGAACCAGTATGAGTCTGGGCTCTAATTTAAAATAGAAATGAGTGCAGACTGTTGGAATATGCCAGAATTGCTGTGAGGCCTTGGGTGGAAGTCACATGACTTCCTTGCTCTATAGTTGGCTCAGCTGGAAAACTGGATCTAAAGAGCCACTGCATTTGGACTGAGGTCTCCTGAATAACCCAAGTCTGGAAATCTCTGTTGTCACTTCCCCAGCATGGGCCTAGGCGGGGGGCGTGAGCAAGGCTCTCCGCTGAGCATGGTGCCTGTTCCAGAGAGCAATTACTGTATTAATATTCTTCATGTGGGCCTGCAGCCAATCCTGGGCTCTGTGATCACAGGGGGGCTCTGAGGTCCTTCCTGGGGCCGATCCTGGGCTCTGGGATCAAAGGGGGGCTCTGGGGTCCTTCCTGGGGCCAATCCTGGGCTCTGGGATCACAGGGGGGCTCTGGGGTCCTTCCTGGGGCCGATCCTGGGCTCTGGGATCACAGGGGGCTCTGGGGTCCTTCCTGCAGCCAATCCTGAGCTCTGGCATCACAGGGGGCTCTGGGGTCCTTCCTGGGGCCGATCCTGGGCTCTGGGATCACAGGGGGGTTCTGGGGTCCTTCCTGGGGCCGATCCTGGGCTCTGGGATCACAGGGGGGTTCTGGGGTCCTTCCTGGGGCCAATCCTGGGCTCTGGGATCACAGGGGGGTTCTGGGGTCCTTCCCTGGGGCTGAGTCAGTTTAGCATCAGTTTTGTATTTCACAAACAAAACCCTGTGCTGGCAAACGAGCAGTGGGTGCTAGGACTGACCCCTCTTCCCAGGCCCTGGCAGAGCACGTGAAAGAGCGAGCAGCTGAGCTGAAGTGGGTCAGCACCATATTAGCATGTGACACGTAAGCCCTTGTGCTCTGCTCAGCACATGCTGCCAAACCAGGCTCTAGGCATGCTCACTGCGCTGGCTGAGCGCCAGCAGGCCCAGCAGAATTAGGAGTTACAATAGAGTCATTCACTCAGTCGAAGCAAAAGCCTAAGGGCAGCCCTGGGGTTCCCATGACCAGGGAGCTGTTTGTAGGCTGTGGTGAGAGCAGCCTTTCTCTTCCCAGAGCAGGCTCCTAGAGGCTGCATAGAAAAGCAGACAATGAGTGCTGCTGAACCCATGCCTTGCTCTGCCTGGGAACGGGACATGGGCTGCAATACACTGCAATAGCTCAGGCAATGTCTGACTGTCAGTACAGTCTGTTCTTTGCTAGGCTTAGTCCAGTTCCTCATTTTTCCCTCTGATTTTGGAAAGGGAAGACCCTTCCAGCTAAATGTCTGGCCAGATGCACAGGGCAGTGGTTCTCTGGTAGCCGTGGACACTACGGCTATTTTCAGTGACAAACAGCAAAGAAAACCCCTGTCTGGAGTGCAGCGAAGACACATACAGCGCCTGACCCAAAACCCATAGGGGTGGGGGGGGGAGGGGATCTGTCCAGTGGCGTAGCCAGGTTCTAACAGCAGGGGGAGCAAACACAAAAAAAGGCGCCACCCGCCGCGAAGCAGCGAAGAAAAGAAAAAAAAAGAAAAACCCAAGTCTTGCCGCCAAAGACTGAAGACCCCGCCGCTGAATTACCCGCTGCCGAAGTGCCGCCAAAGACCTGGAGCAACTGAAGGACCCGCCGTCGAAGTGCCGCCAAAGACCCGGAGCGACTGAAGAACCCGCTGCCAATTTGCCCCGAAGACCCGGATGTGCCGCCCCTGCTGGGAAGCGCCCCTGAGTGAGTGTAAAAATTAGAAAGGCGCCACATTTGGGGAATGTGCTCAGTGGGAGCGGCCACTCCCCCTGCTCCCCCCCAGCTATGCTACTGGATCTGTCCAGGCCTTTAGAGAAGCACTGCTAGGGGGCTTGTCCATCTGTCTGAGCTTTAATTGTGATCTCATTTGGAACTCACAAAAGTGAGGAATTAATCTCACCCCTCGGGACAGGGAGCAGTAAGACAGGAGCTGTAGAGAAAGCTAATGCTCTTCTCCGGCTCTTCCCATCCTGGCCTCTCTGCCCAGCTTTACTAGTGCCCCCTAGGCACACCCTACAGCAGCCCTTCATGCTGTACACTTGGCCCTCTCCACTCATCGTTACTTAGCTTGTAAATCTTGGGGCAAAGATCCCCTTGTTGGGGCGGCACAGACCAGGACAGTGCTATACCAATACAAATAAATAAGAATACCAGGTTTGGCCAGACTGAGGCCCCCCAGTAATTGCACATAGGACGGTCACCCCTCTCATTTAAGCCCTCCCACTTTTCAACTCAAACCTGAGCCCTACTCTTGGAAAAGGCTGCTGCAACCAGATGATGGAGTTGCATGTTAGTCAAGCCTAGTGATTAAGGGTTCCTTAGCTCTATTATCAAGGCAGAAGAATATTAATGTAAGATATTTTCTAGCAAATGCTTCTGCTTCTCTGCTGCTCTCCGAGCCTGTGCCATCCCTCGGGCCACAGTTGCATCATGTGTTCTGTAGACTGCCTCCTCGAGGAAGGGTTGGTTTAACATTCTCCTTGTTAAAAGAGCAAGCAATAGGCTGAAGGCATGAGACTCGGCGGGCCTGACTCACCATTGGCTTGCACCTTACGCTGTCACTTTCACCAGTGCCAAATGCTACCAGACGGGGAGCATTTCACACCCATTTGCACTGGATAAGGAGCAAGGCAATGGGGAGGTAGGCGCAGCATGTTTGAAGAGGTGACAAGCTCTGCAATGGTAGCCTCCGTGTCAGCACCCTGCTCCTAGCACACTGCTGCTGGGAGATGCCCACAGCTGCTAAGAATTAAGTCCTAGCTGAAAGAAAAGCTTGGGCCTTTGGAGCCTCTTCCTGGAGATGAGCCCAGCATTACAGCAGTGCGGAGGCTGTGTGGTCCGGTCATGGGCCATAGCAATCAGGCTCAGGGCTTGTTGAAAGGAACACGAAGGTCATGCCTACACTTCAGCAGCTACAGCTATAGCATGGCAGCTGTGCCACTGTAGCGTAGAAGCTTCCTACGTCGACAGAAGCTTTTACGTCGATGTAGTTAAGCCACCTTTCCGAGAGGTGGTAGCTAGGTCAACGGAAGGATTTGCAGAGTGCAAAATTTTTCACAGCCCTGAGAGCTTTAGCCAGGTCTATCTAATTTTTAGGTTTAGACCAGGCCCAAGTTCGCAGCAAGTCAGGGTGTGAATCTACCTCGCCCTAGCCTGCTGCGCACAAACTCCATAGCCCATTTTCCTTGCATGGAAACAGGATGAATCAGAGCTCTCTGTGGAACAGTTAGTCCACAGCAGCAGGGTCCACAGGGGTGCTCAGTGCATGGTGGACTATTGCAAGGGAGATCGACACCGGGTTTGTTGCGAACTTGGTTTGTGTAGACAAGAACAACAGTAAAGGTCTGTTCTTGAGACCAGTTTCCATCTTGTGTCCAGACAGCGTCTCTTGCACTGGTCCCAGCCTGCTGGGGTGATCCAGCAGAATTAGCCCTACGTCTCTGGACCAGTGGAGCACAGGCCTTGGGCTGGCCCTCTACACAAGGCCAAGTTTCAGTCATCTCGTCAGTGCAAGGCCCTTTCCACGATGGCCCAGCCCATTCCGGTCATCAAACAGGAGCATCCAAAGCCACGGCCTCCAGCTGGAGAAGACTAAGCACAGAATGGAGTGGTTTCTCACCAGACAGATGGTAGGAGAGACTTTCCTCACACCCTGGAGCTCCTTGGGCCCAGAGCAAGGAAAGCACTTGACACTAGATAACGCAGGCACCCACAAGCACTGCAGGCCTTTGGGGCCTAGATGTCACCCATCCAGTTCTCAGTCAGTCCCTGACAGACACCAGCCATGATAGTGCCGTGAACGAGGTGCACGATGGGCAGGAATGTTCTTTCTGATGCATCCCAGCCATGGCTTCCTGCAGATGCAGGGGGAGCTCCCAGCATCAAGCAGTGACCAGAGAGGTTCTAACCCTGAATTCTCCTCTCCCCAGCTCATCCCGCAGACCCAGCTCTGGGCTTGCTCCTCCTCCAGGACTGGCTCCAAGGACGGCATGATGGACCCCCACAAGGCTTCCACAGGGTGAGGAGGCCTGCTCTAAACACCCCCCGTCCTCCCCAGCAAGGAGCTGTAGGGCTTGGTTTGCATGGAGACTTTGCATGGCAGGAATGGTGTCCCTAGCCTCTGTTTGCCAGAAGCTGGGAATGGGCGACAGGGGATGGATCACTTGATGATTACCTGTTCTGTTCATTCCCTCTGGGGCACCTGGCACTGGCCACTGTCAGAAGACAGGATCCTGGGCTAGATGGACCTTTGGTCTGACCCAGTAGGGCCATTCTTATGTGACTTTCCCTGCCTCAGGGGCTGCATCTCTAATGCCTTGTCCTGCTTCTCCTACAGCAACCCTGCCCTCGCACACAGACCTCCAAGCAGCACAGTGCCCCATCGGCTTGCGAGTGGCCAAGCCAGCAGCCAGAGCACAGCACTCCAGAGACCGCCAAGCAGCCATCTAAAGCCATCCTCCACAGAGGCCACATGGAAGGCAATGTCCTGCGTCTCCCTTCCAGTCGAGAACTCGACCATCAACACTTACGCCAGACTGAAAGGGAAAGGCAGCGCAGCCAGAGTCCAGGCCCGCTCAGCTCACAGCCCCAGGAACCACCAGAAATAGAACCCCAAGAGAGCAACTCCTGCTGGAGGTGTTCAGCTAGGGACACAAATAAAGCTGTTTACTGTTCATCCCCAAGGCTCCCTCTGAGTGCAGGGCTGCTGTCTGTGACAGTGAAAGAGCCGCAAAAGGGCTGTGCCACGTGGGAGCCCAGGGCTTCTCTGCCACTCACTGCTCCCTAACTGGGATGGGGCACCTGCTGGAGTCAGGGCGGTCAGCTTGTGGGGGACGCAAGTTTGCAGATGACACTAAACTGGGAGGAGTTGTAGATACGCTGGAGGGTAGGGATAGGATACAGAGGGACCTAGACAAATTAGAGGAATGGGCCAAAAGAAATCTGATGAGGTTCAACAAGGACAAGTGCAGAGTCCTGCACTTAGGATGGAAGAATCCCATGCACTGATACAGACTAGGGACCGAATGGCTAGGCAGCAGTTCTGCAGAAAAGGACCTAGGGGTTACAGTGGACGAGAAGCTGGATATGAGTCGACCAGCGTGCCCTTGTTGCCAAGAAGGCTAACAGCATTTTGGGCTGTATAAGTAGGGGCATTGCCAGCAGATCGAGGGATGTGATCATTCCCCTCTGTTCGACATTGGTGAGGCCTCATCTGGAGTACTGTGTCCAGTTTTGGGCCCCACGCTACAAGAAGGATGTGGAAAAATTGGAAAGAGTCCAGCGGAGGGCAACAAAAATAATTAGGGGTCTGGAACACATGACTTATGAGGAGAGGCTGAGGGAACTGGGATTGTTTAGCCTGCAGAAGAGAAGAATGAGGGGGTATTTGATAGCTGCTTTCAACTGCCTGAAAGGGGGTTCCAAAGAGGATGGACCTAGACTGTTCTCAGTGGTACCAGAAGACAGAACAAGGAGCAATGGTCTCAAGTTGCAGTGTGGGAGGTCTAGGTTGGATATTAGGAAACACTATTTCACTAGGAGGGTGGTGAAGCACTGGAATGGGTTACCTAGGAAGGTGGTGGAATCTCCTTCCTTACAGGTTTTTAAGGCCCGGCTTGATGAAGCCCTGGCTGGGATGATTTAGTTGGGGATTGGTCCTGCTTTGAGCAGGGGGTTGGACTAGATGACCTCCTGAGGTCCCTTTCAACCCTGATATTCTATGATGCCGCGCCTTGCAAACAGCATCTCCTCTGGTGGAGGAAGAAGCATTGGCAGCTCCACAAGGAGAACCAGCCGGACCTCCCGGAGCAGCAGGATGGCTGCTGTGAGGGAGGCTGCCCAGGAGGAGGTGGGAAGGACGAAAGGACTGAGGGATCTTCTCAGGGATCCAGAGGATCTCATGAAGACAGAACCCATATAAAAGGCTGTATGCTTTCCCACCTTCCAGCAGGAGAGATCACTCTATTCCCACATAGGAGCCCCTTAGGGGGCTAGGAATCGAGCTCCATCACAGCCTGGATCATACCCCCCTCCTGTGGTTTAACATCCAGTGCTCGCTGCACACCCCTGCCACATCCTGGTTGGGTTTTGACAGCACATTGTGCTGCAAGGGCAGGAGGAAACAGAGCAGGGAGTTGAGTTGCAATAAAAGATTCAAGAGTTAAGACTTTTAACCAATAAGATTGCAGTTGGCAAATGACTGCGAGAAAAGGGGTGGGGAGAACAGGAAGGACTGTATTGAGTGACTGCTATATAAAAGCACCCACTGTTCTATTCCTGTTCAATGGCTCTGTTACCAAGTTAGGCTCTGAGAAGTTAGAGATGAAAGACTAGCTTAGATCAGACCGTCCTTGCTCCTACAGGGAAAGGACTTGGTTTCCAGAGAGAGGACAGAGCTGTTAGTAAACTAGTATTTTACATTTAAGCTTAGCCACTCCTTAAAGAGCCTCTGACAATTACTTTATTACAATTCGTGAGGCTTCCCACCACCTATTTTATGTTGGTCAACACCCTCTTAAGAAATTGCATGTGCAATTTCTCCTCCCTCCTTTATCCCGCATTAGGCAATACCATTTGTCCGAGGGCTTTTAACAAAGCACAACCAACATGCCTCCTCGATCTGGATAACAGCACAGATTAGCAGCAGGGAGAGCTCTGTGCATCTGCAGGGGGCATGTGCCCATTTCATATCTCATGCCATAGCACCAGTTTACTGGACTGAGGGAGACTAAGTGTCATTGGAACCCACAATAAGATTCATCATCAGCAGAGATGCCTAAAAACTGAACCAAAGTGAGGCTCAGCAGATGTTCATTAGCCTCAGTCTAGAGGACTAAGCCCATGCCACTGCATTCTACGCTACATTCCACACTCCCAGGCTTGAGTCATGGCATGCAGCCTGTGGAAACTACAGTGTCCAGCATGCAGTGGGCTTCTGGTGGAATTCTCTGTACTATACTAGACAGAAGGCAGGCTAGATGATCGTAACGGTCCTTCTGGCCTTGAAATCCATGATCCTTCATCGGACTAGCCAGGCTGCATTGCATGCAGGTTCCTGTAGTCCTCACCAGTGTGGCCCTTGGGTAGGTATATTTGCACATCCAGATGAAGCCAGGGGAGGCAAAGGGAGCTGGCTATGTGCCCAAAGGTTTGCTCTAGGAGAGAGGCATGGGCTAGCAGCCTAAGCATAGGACTGGGAGTCAGGGCCTCTTGAGCTCTGATACCAGCTTGGCCACATCCATCCTCTGGCAAGTTACTGGACTGCTGTGTCCAACCTGGAGATCACACTATCCCTGCGCTGTGAGCAAAGACTACTGTCTGGCATGTATCATGCCCTGATATTTTTATGGACCCTGAACCTGCAGCCAAGGCAGTAACCAGGTCACAGCAATAATCAAGCCAGGCTCTTTTCCATGGTACACACCCCTTTCAACTTTTCTTTTGGGAGGGACCCTTTCTAAATGGCAGCTGGAGACTAGGAGAGAAAGGGGCTTGCTAGCCAGGCAGAGGGAAACTGAACCCATGCAGGGAGTAGGGAGGGAATCAGTGCTGGATTGTTCTGTAAAAGAAACAGCAACAAGAGCAGTGCAGGTTTCTCCTTGCTCTAGATTTAATAGCGCAGGCGGCTTTACAGACATGTACAGTGCATCAAATCCAGCAATCTCTGGCTGCTGAGTGGGGCTGGGACCCAGCCAGGGCTCCCAGCAAAGACCTGGACACTGCAACACATCCACGGATATTGTTCCGCCCCTGCAGCTACCTCATGCCATTCTCTCTAATAAGTTAGTATAAATAAAGCAAGCATTCAAACCCTCCCCACTTCCTGCCCCTGCCCTCCAGCAAGGTGATCTCCCAAGGGCCAGTGAGAAGGGAAGCACGTTGAAAGATGGCAGATCAACGCAGCTTCCAGGCCCCCTCCCCTGCTCCAGGTGTGGGCCACCGCTCTGTGAGGGATGAGAGGGGTTGAGCGCTGCCTTTGGTTACACCCAGGCCACCCTGTTGAGATAGCCAAGGAGTAACCGAGAGCTGAGCCAGCCCAGGGGCTCCTAGCAGCAGTCATGGGAGTATAGAAAATAGAGATTTATAAAAGGAGAGAGTAATCGTCCCTTAGGAGCACTGGGCGGGGGAAGACTAGCCTGCCCCAGGGAGCACAGGGAAATCGACTTACAGCAAAGTGCTCGCACCAGCCACATGGACCAGCCTCTCCCATCGTCGCTGGAGCTTCCCCACTAACCCTTTAAGACTTTGCCTAAGAAGTCTGGCATCCCCTCCTTATTCCCCTGAGGGGGTCTCAGATGCCTTCTTAGCTTCTGCCCCCCACAACCCCCACCCCTCCAAAGACGCTACACTAATATTGACAGATCAGCTGCCCAGATGCACCCCCTCCCCCTACACACATACTCAGAGGCCAAGTTCTGCCCTCCCTGATCTTGGGGGGCTTGCATGGATTTAAGACAGGTCAGAATTTGGCCACATCCATCCCCACACTGACCCTGCCTTCTACCCCTGCCAAACAGGGCAGTCTGAGTACACTCTAAAGGGAGCAGAACCTTTTCTCCACCCCAATGCTCAGGTTCTCGCTCTCTGCTGCCTGGGGATAACTGCTGAGCTGAGCATACAGCCCTGTGGGTCTGCCCAGCCCTGGGGACAGATGCACAGTGCTGCTGCTTCCCCCTGCTCAGCCACCTGCTGTGCTGATGGAGCCACTTCCCTGGTGCCCCCGTCCCCTGGAGTGCAGGTGGCTCTATCCCCGCAGTATGTCCATAGGCCAGCTAGCTCTCACCGCAGCAGTTACCTGGAAGGGAGATCAAGAGGGTCAGTAACCCCTTCACTGCCAGTGAGCTCTCTCTAGGGAAAACAGGGCAAGAAGCTGCCACGGGATCCTAAACCCAAGCACGCAGTTATTGTGTACTTAACACACCTCCCCAGACACAGCACCCCTCTCCCAGAGCCCACAGCCCCCATACCTCCCAGACCCCCTACTGCAAGTATGCTGAGATCACCAAGGTGGGGCCTGGGGAGGCAGTGGCTGGGAGACCTGGCCTCATATTTATGCCACAATGTGTGGACAGCCTGTTATTCCAATTATGAGGCTCATTTACTGGGTCTGTCCTGTTTCTGCATGTCACCGGGGGGGTGTCAAAGGAATCCACAGCCAGGTCAGCCCCAGTCTGACGGTGCTGTGCTGGGATAAGCCCAACAGTCACTGCCCTCCAGCAGCCGCCCCCAGGAACTTGCAGGGCTTTGCCCACATCACAGTGAGAGGCCTGAAGCCTCAGGGCCAGCACAGGCAGCTGTAGAGGGGGCCACCTTCTGATGCCACCCTCCGCTCTCACCCAGGATGTTGTGCTTGCACAAAGGGCAGGTCTGTTGCAGGAGCAGCCACGGATCCACGCAATCCCGGTGAAACTCGTGTGAACACGGCAACACCCGCAAACACTGTGGGCAGGAGGCGAAGCAATGAATGTCCGGGACAAATACATGCATCACAGCAGCCATCTTAGCACCCTGCCTTGGAGATGTGTCAGGCCAGAGCAGCGAGCCAGATAGCCCAGTATCTGCCTCCCTGCTGCAGTGAAATGCACTGATAGGCCAGCTGAGGAGACATCTAACCACCATGCAAGTATTTGAAAGGGGCAGGCACAGCGGAGCTGCTGGCAGCCTGCTAGCTGAGGG